CATGCTGAGAGTATTTGCAGACTTTGAAAATTCTAGAAACAAAAAATTTATTTTTACTCTCATTAGAAAAAATAAAGTACCCAAATCGAGTAAAATATTCAAATGTAAACCAAATAATTGTAAGGTTACTATTTAAGCAGCTGAACAATTATTCAAGTTTTACCAGAAATGTGGTTTTACCAAAATGTTGAGTTGGCACATTATCCATGATAAAGACTGGTTAGTAGAAAGTAAACTTAAAAAACGTTGGTTTGAATAAGATTATTAATGATTGAGATATATGCCCAAATGAGTAGTTATGATTTGGCTCGAAAGAGAAAAGAATTTCTTTTTCAATCTCTCAGATTGATAATATCTTAATGTTTATTATTTGTCTTTCAACCAATGCACAAAACTTTCCAACTTAAACTCTAGTTTTTAAGTGTTGTGTGCTTGAGATTAATAATCAATTGATATTGTAATGAGATAGAACTTTAAAGGTTTATTGAGGATTTATGCAGTAACAATCTGGCTCTTACCATCGGCTCAACGAAGTTTCGCGAGATTTGCAAATTTTAGTAAAATTGCTGTCAATTTGAGAGCTTTACGATCAGTATGGAAACGTTGCTTTGCAAGCTTTATAGCTGCACGTTGGACTGACAGGAAAAGCGTCTAGAATAGGATTTTTAAGAATTTTCAGTAACTTTGAATAGTGATTGTTTTGTGTCTTCAGTAGGACTAAACAAGGGTCAATTTTCTAAATCTATTGAATGGCAATTGTCAATGAAGTTTAAAAATCCTGGCGAGAAACGATCAAGTTTGATCAAGATTTATTGTGTTCGTGAGGCTAAATGAGATTAAGAGACCTTGAATGGTTGAAAAACTTGAGGGAAAATTGATTTAGGTCAGCTAAAGGGCAAATGTAGTACAATAACATTTTGAAAAGTAATGATTTCCTGATGAAAAAGTCGAAATGGTTGAGCAAATTTGTCATTACAAGTGCCACTTCAATCAATTGGAGTTATGAATGATAAAGTTGAACAAAAATAAAATCAAAGTAACACAAAGAAAATTCGAAATATCTTAAGAATTATATTTTCTCATTTCAATGTGTATTCATTATTGTACACAAAATTCATATTTACATAGGATTTTTTCTTGATTACACGAGAAAATGAATTGGAGTAAGATGAAATAAGAATCTGATTTTAAGCAAAAAAGTTCATTTTTGATGATGTTCTATTCAAAGTATTCACAAACCTCTTGAGCGTCAAAGTATCAAAAAAGATATTTAAACTTGTTGGAATACAAAGTTGCACAAAATTGTCTTCATTATTATAATGGTTATAAATAAATAATCAACGATAATAAACAATTTGCTAACTTTTTTCTCGTTACTCGTTTTCATCTTCAACTTTGTTTCTTGTTCATCTTTTTCTTCTTCTTACTTTTCTGCTTACATTTTCGGGAAATGAAATTTTCTCCAGCTTTTTGCTTCCTCAACTGGGAGTTGGTAAAGGTACACAGAAAAACGATAAGAAAATGTACAGAGAATCTAAACATGAACAAAGTTATAACAATAATAATAGTAATAACTGCAATAATGTTAAATGAAAATAATAATGATAACGCTTACAATAATAGGAAAAAGATATCATCTTGTCTTGCAATAATCAAGGTCTGATCATGTTTCTACACACACAAAGTTAAGCTCCTATTTACTCAATCGTAATGCACAGTTAATCATGATGCAAAGCACAATCAAAGTTGAGTTGGACTAGTGAAAAGGTGAACCACAGAAGCTACAGCAAAAAAGGGGGAAAAGACCAAAACTCAACAGAAAACTGTTTCTTCGACATACGGTTCGCTTTTCAGAAAAAAAACATTTTAAGAATTGAAAAATAAAAAAATTCAATTACCTCAATAACTACTACCTACATTTTTCTCTATAACAAATCTCTTCATCAAATGATTTAATGAGATAGTCTTTTGATACAGCCGTTGATGCATAGCTCTTGCAATCTTTGCCCGAATTATCTTATGAGCGTAAAGTTTGCGAATTTCACAAGCTCTTCACAAAGAAGCTACCTTTTTATTTTTTCAATTGTATGAGCGCAACTAACCCGATGACCTAATTACATGTAGTTGTGTAAACGACCAATGTACTCGAAAAATACAAAAGCCAAATGCATCTTATTATTAAATTCAAAATAATCAGAAAAGGGTCGAAAATTGGAATCAAATAATGATATTCAGGTGATTGAATAACTCAAAAAAAAAGCTGATCAACAAGGGTTAGGATATTCGATTGAAGATCGTTATATTAAAATCGTAGTGAAACGAAGGGAAGATTTTAATTAAGCTTAGCCATTTTGAAAATCCACTTTTTTATGCCATTCAACAACTATATTGCTTGCACCACTTGAACGAAAGATTTCAAACTGAGAATACATTTTCAACAACATATGAAGATTTGCTGAAAAGACTTTCAAGACCCTCGCAGGTCATTTTTCGTCATTAGAAACAATGATCCAAGCAAACTGAGTAATCAATCTTTAGCTTGAGTAGGCAAATTAGTGTCAAAAAAGTTTTTTGGCTTTCCACTTTCAATGTTCATCAATTTTTGCCATTTAACCGCTTTTTTGCTTTGACGGACCCAATCTTAATTTCATTTTTGACATTTACTCTCAAAGCTCTGTTTATTGTAAACCTTTTGATACAAAATGAAAAATATTGCGCTTTTGTTTTCTCCAGCATTTTTCTCTCTTTACAAGAGACTAGATCAAGTTTTCCAGACACCAGATAATGTGATACCTTGAGTGAAAACATGAGGAATTATGAGATGAAATATATTGTTCATTTTTTTCTCCCATTTTTCGCTTGTTTAGAAGAAAGAAAGTTTAAGGCAAGAAGAGTTTTCCTTGCTCAGTAGCTGTAGATATAATAAGGGAGAAGATTTTACAGAAAAACGAACTGAAATGCCTCTGAAAAAGTGTCGAATGACTCGGAAGAAGAATGAAAAGAGAAAAAAAGAGAAGTCATGCGATACTGGAGGGTATTAGGAATACATATATGTATTCGTTGTTTTTGTTTTACAACTCAATTGAACTGCTCAGATAACCTTCAAGTAATGTAAACCCAAACAAAATGGTATTTGGGTGATGAAAGTGCAAAAAATGGATACAAATATCTATTTATAAAGATGTATAAATGTATTGTTTTTTTGTCTTGTTATTGTGCTTCGTGTTGAGTCAACTGAACAAGGTTAGCGGTAAGGAAATGATATTTTTTGTCCAATGTTGGTTATTAGATGTGAATGATAACAGTCATTAGAGAGTTCAATTGATGACAATTTATATCACTTATTTGATGAGAAAACAACTTTTTTTTACTCAACACTTTTCTATCGACCTTTTCACTTTCTCCTTCTTTCCATTTTTAAAACTCATTTGGGAACAAAAAAAATGATTCCATAAAATTGTCAATAATAACGAAATTGTTTCGCTCATAATGTGAATCTGTAAAGTCACATTATCAGGGAGAAGCTCTTTTTTGATGAGAAAAACACTGAACATTTGGCCACAAAAAGAATGTTAACTTTATTGAAAAAGTAAAGCTTAAAGGGTAAAATGTTCTATTCGATAAAGGATGGAATAAAAGTTGCTTTTTTGTTAAACAACTTTTCTGATTCAATTTATTTCTTCTCAAATTTTACATTCAAATGGGTGAATTTTCAAATTGGTTAATGTTGCACTCTTCGTTGGTGTTGAATCCTTGTTCGGATATAAATAGTTTGATTCAAATTTATCTTGAATGGATGGCGAAAAGAATTGCGATCTTTTGAAAATCTTCTGATCGATTCTCTTTTGATTTTGCTATTGAGCGCATTACGATAATGATTCCATCGATATTGGTTATGATGAAAGGAACACACAAAAATGAATTGACTTGTTTCGAGTTGCTTTATTGATATTGATGTTGAGAAGGAAAATTAAAAAAATAATGTCTGAAAAGGTAAGATTGGTTAGGGAATGAAAGTAGCAAGTGATAATGATGATGGCAAAGGCGATAAAATTGAAACTGTAATAAGGCAAAAGGGTAAAGGTGTCTTGCATGGTTAAGCTTGAAAGAACCTGTGAATAAGTTATTTAATCGCTTCACTGATCCTCTTAATGATTTGTTAGACTCAAAGTCAATCTTATTGGTGACCTCATCTTTACTTTTCTCATTGATTAGAGTAACTTTTGTTACTTCCAAGTAATTCATCATTTTGCCAGCATTTATTGAGTAACCATCAAAAAGGTGGATGCAAGATGGAGAAAAGGTTTGAGGAGAGACGATAAAAAATGGAAGAAAAAAAATTTGGTTCGAAATGGGAAAGTGATTCAAGAATTCAGATTTGTTGACTCGAAATGTGAGATGCTAGAGTTGGGCTAATAAGTAATAGTAAAAGTTGAACTTGAATCTTGTTCAATTTTATTGAAAAACCCAGTCATGAGTAAAAAGGATTTGAAGAAGCACGTTGTCATGAGAAAGAATAAGTCTGAAGAAGGAATTTTTCTGTCCAAATTTTCGGACTCTCTCATTTGACCAAGAAAGGAAAATGCAGTAAATATAATAATCAATAGTTTCAATCTTTTTTGAATAACATTAATATTGAAATTTTCGTCAGTTTCTTATCGAATTGAGTTTTCGATGCAAAGTCTCAAATGCCATGAATAACATGGAATACATGAATGATCGAGTTTAGCCTTTTCTTTTTCTTCAATCTTCATTTTCGATTTCCACATGCATATTTCATTAGAAAAATAACGACTTTTAAGAATCAATAGATTCAATTTAACCATGATTTTTATCCACATTAATAACGTTCGATAACGAAGAATAACAAATTGGCGAAAACTTTTTTCTTATAACGCATGGAATTCGTCAGAAAAAGTTGACTGACGAATTGTAGAATTTTCGTAATTAATACCAAAAATGAATAAATTTTTGAATAAAATAATCGAATGTTGACTCACAGTATAATTCAAGTCGAGTTGAGGCAGAAATTCGTGGAATTGTAATATGATTTGTTGCTTTACATGTAAGGACGGAATCTGGATGTGAACGTTTTAATTTATCGATAACTAGTTCGTTAACGACTTGAAAAGTTTCATTGTTGAAATGGTAAGAATCGTCAATCAATTGATTATCAAGGTACCAAACAAGTTGAGGTGCCGGTTTGCCTGAGAATGAAGAATGGGCAGAAGAAAGTTAGTTTTCTTTATCAAATGAATATCGAAGTTCAATGATTGGGAAGTGAAAAATTATTCAAAATTGTAATGAAAAGTGAACAAAAGAGTTATAAAAATTTTTCAATTTTATTGTTTTTCCAATAAAAAAGCTAAACTTTTGAATTGAGTTTTCCCAAAACTCTGTAAACGCCTTTGAATAGAAAAACTTTGCCTTGAAATTTTCCTCTCAACATCTCAATTCACTGATCAAGATCAACCTTTTCCATTCAACATTCTTATTCTTTAGGCATCATCTCATACTTTATAATGTTATTAACCAATCGATATCTTATTAACTTTTCTCAGCCTGAAAAGAGAAAACCTAAAACTTTTTTTCCTCTTTTCTTTTGTAATCTTTCACTTTTTCACCCATTCTACTGTTCATTTAACAATAACTTTAGATAAACGATTGATGATGATGAGGATGAGAAGTTGAAGAAGAAAAAAGTTACTGATATTGCAATAGTGATTCACATAAGTGTTGATTTCGGTGGTTCTTTGGGCCATCAAAAAATGAAAGAAAATTGTACAGGGCATTTCAGCTAATTTGTGGGATTTCTTTGGCTTATTAATCTACTCTGATATAACTTAGCGAACTTGACATTTCGTCACAGACAATTTCTCAGATATTCATTTGTCATACCTAAAGGTCAAGATCCTCCAAGGTCATTTTACGGAAATTGATCTGGTGACATTAGAGAGAAAAAAGTCTATTTTATACTATTGGAGTTAAAAAGACTTCCAAACTTTCGAAGATTATCGAATCTCTAAGACAAGTGCTACGTGACAATGGCAAAAAGACGCGCGAAGATAAAGATGAATTATAAGTATGTCCTTCAGCGCTTTACTGTAAATATTCATAAAGCGTTTGTCATAGAGGCTCGAAGCTTAATCTGCTAAATCTCTTTGCTCCGAGAGTCATGAAATAAAACTGTTTTGACCTCTATTTGACCATTGGGAGTGACTAACGAAAAATGAACTTGTACGATCTTCGAGCTTATATAGCGAATCAATACATGTATCTTAGAAATTTCCTTAGATGCAATTTCAGTACGCTGAGATATATCAGAGTGTATCGAAAGGCAAAAGAAATCATACAAATCAGCTGGAATACCCTGTATATTTCTTTTTCTATTCTGTTGTTCAGATGATTTTATCTTCACAATTATTGATATTTTGTTGTGAATAAGAAGAAAAAATTGCCTTTTCTTCATGTTATACAATGTAATGAAAAAAGTATCAAAAGTGTTATCATTTGTTGTCTAGAGTAAATGGAAAAGTCTTTCATTTTTCTTTCTCTTCTAACGTCTTACAAGGCTATGAATATGAATCAGAAATTATTAGATTGAGAAGAAATGGATTGATCGAAATGAGGCAAAATGGGAAAGAAATGAATGAAAGAAGCATTATTATCATGGATATTGCTCTGATACTCACCTCCTATTGCAATGCAATTCAACTTTAACTGTGAATCTTCTGGATAAGGACCGGCTATTTGACCCAATCTGAGGCCACTTTGAGGATCACTAATGATGACATCATTTGGTGGCACTGGCAGAGTGGACAAGAAAACAAACATTCAACTTTTTAAACTGTTATATGATCAAGAATCAGAAAGATAAATGAATCAATCAAGATGGTTTACGCTGACAGGGAATTTTAACCCCAACTTGAGGAGTGAGCAATAAAAGTGGAAATTAATAGACACTTTCTCAATAACGAACCAGATGAGTTAGCAAAATTCATTAATTACAGTAGAAATGAACTGAACTGAATGATAGATTTTTTAATAATTCGTTGAATTGATAATCAATTTGAAAAAGGTACAAAAATGTTGACTGATAAAGTTTAAGAAAAGATTTTCGAGTGAATAAACTTCAACAAAACTTTCAAATTCAATTGTCATTCGCATGTCGTTTTTATCTTTCAACAAACTGATTTTCGAATCGAATCAAAATTCCGTTTAGCCAAAAGTCAAAAACTTACAAAGCTTTCCAAGTTCGAAGTAAATGAGTTTTCATCTTCGATGATGACTTTTAAAAATTATTCTGCTTTCATGAGAAACTATAACGAAAGTTTCGTAAACGTTGAAATGCTTTTTCAATTTTCTTTTCTCAATCCTGAATATCCGAACTCTGCTTCAATTTCTATTGAAAGTTCAATTGATTAAAAGTCGAAATAATTTGTTGGTCAAAAGTTAATCACAAATGATTAAGAAATGTTTAAGGTTCACAAAAGGCGAGTAGAAATGGCTTTCAACAGTAAAATACATTTGGACTTACAATGATGGTTATCATTTTGTTGATCATTTTAAAGCTCATTTGTTGTTCCCTAATAACAATGATAATAATAATGATACCTTGTTCAATGTTTATAATCTTTGTTAAGAGTTGAGGTTCTCTGTGATACAATTTTTACTCTGAAAGATTACATTAGTTGAGTTAATCTAAATCCATCTTAAACTTCATTCATTATCCTTGTTTCTCCTGTTTTCAACCCATGTTAAGCCTTTAAGCTCAACATCACTTTATGAGTTTTTTACTCCCGCTCTTTACTCCATTGCCTTTTCCTTTCTGCTTTCTGTTTTTCTCCTTATTTTTCATCTCTAATATCATGAAACAAAAATGAACCTTATTTTGAGGAGAAGGAGAAAAAATAATACTTTCATCTTTTCCCTTATGGAACCGATTCATTTCTTGATCATCACCGTCTTGAAACCATTACAATGGCTAATCTTTTGGCTCACTTTACTCTACGAAATTCATTTGACGAGACGAGAAAAAACAATTTCAAGATAAATGTCAATGAATAGTAAAAATTAATCATGATAAAGAGGAAAAGGCAAAAATAAAATTTGAATTATTCAAAAATAATCCATTGAAAGTTGAACACATTAAAAGCTAAACAAGAAGTTGAATCATCAATTGAATGTTTCAATTGGTAAATTGAATTTTGAAGCGGATTCTATACTTAAAAATCAAATTCCATTTGAATTTTCTTTTCCATGAATATCTTTAGAGAATAAAATTTCCGAAAAAATTCTAATTTCGATTGCGATTTTCCATTCACTTCTCAAAAAACAAAATGTTGATTACGTCGGTAAAACGCCGACTCCAGAAAATTTGATTCGAGAATTTTTACTTTTCCATGAATTTCTGGAAACTTGGATTGATTAATACAACTGTATTGATCAAGAAGGAACAAAATTCTAATTTTCGAATGTCGATTTCGATTTTCTACCATTTTCTTTCCTTTGTTTCTTCTTCTCTTCCTTATTAACTTGGTTTTCTTGAACATGAAGTTTATTACGATCAAGATTAGGATAATGGATTGGCTTTTCCTTTGGCTCAATGTTGGGTTATTGATTAACAAGTAGAGTTTGATTTAATGAGAAGCAAGAAGAAAAAAGAGCGAGAAAAAAACGGTTCTGTTGCATGGTAAGTTGGATGATGAAGAAGGAAAATGATTGATTCCAATTTGGTAAGCTTACCAATTATAAATAGATTTATATTGGATATTGAGGTTCGAGACCATTTATAATCTACTCTGCATGAATAGATGCTGGCATCCTCCTCTCGAACTGGATTAATGTTGAGTATTGACGGAGAAGAGGAAAGGTTGAAGTAAATGCGATTCTCGTATTCAGAAGCAAGGGTTATTGAGGCAGTTTCAAGTGAATTGGATGAACGAGCATCCAACTTGAGGAAGGGTGGACCCGTTCCGTAGGCACTTTTAAACCATAAAATTAACTGAACAGAATCGTCTGTAGGTGAACTTGTGTTGCAGGGTAACTCAACTGAAGAACCAACAACAGTTTCAACTTGAGGATAAACTGGAACATTGCACACAAAAAAGCAAAAGAAATGGACAAAAAGATAAACATGAGAAAATTCAAGTTGAAAAGAAACATTGAAAATTCGGAATGAATCGGCTTTCGTCTTTGTTGCACATTTGGGTTGATTTTAATGTCGACACTTTTCTCCTTCGAACGAAACGATATTGTTCAACGAAAATGTCCAACTTTTGAAAATCCCGACTAAATTTTGGCGAATTTTTCTCGTTCGAAGACGAAAGAAAACTTACCTTTTTTAACGACAGAATTTGCCTTTGAACTGTTCATTGTATCGAGTAATCCATTTTTGGTTAAAGACTTTGACACACTAGAATCACTTTTATGGTTAAAGTTGAAAGTCAAAAGGATGCTGAGAAACACTTTAACTGTTGAATCCATGGTAAATCCCAGTTGCTCAATGTTGTTCCCAGTAAAACAAACTCGAGTATAACTTTGAACCAAATGGAAACCTTCAAACAATCCTTTTACCAAAACTCGAAGAATCAAACATTTTGGTGGAGAAAAAACTTTATTAAAGTGTTGCCCTCTTTTATCGAGAATGGCTGTTATCCAATGTGAAAAGAAAAATTCTTGCATCGATACAGAATTCCATGACTGAGAAAACTTGTAGTTGCAGACAAAAGAGGGAAACATTGGATTCCATCAAAGTTTTGAGTTAAGATGTTGAAATTTTATTACAGTAGGTATTAGACTTAAGTTAACGAAAGTCGAGAGTTATTTCATAGTCACCATCTAACAAGCCATAAAAGTAGCTTTAAGATCGAATTTAATTTTGTCCATTTCTCCATTGTCTAGTTTCTCTGAAAACTAATTATGACTGAGATGGCGACACCTGAAAATTAACTTAACTCTGGCTCTATTTTGTTAACTTAACCCTAGTACCTACCGTATTAATATTCAACCGCTTTGCTGCCTTCTTAGACATTACCCAGGCCCAAATCATTCTGATAACTTTATGGTGCAAGGTTTAAAGAAGTTAACTAATAATTCAAAAGAAAACTGTTATTAAATTCTTTTTATTAGAACGAGTGTACTGGCCCGGTAAACTTTATGACGGTAAACATGATAAATCCCAGTTGTTCAGTGTTGTTTGCAGTAGGACAAAGTCGAGTAAAACTTAGATTCAAATGAAAACCTTCAAATAATCCTTTTACCAAAACTCGAAGAGTCAGATTCTGCTTGAGAAAAAACTTCTAAAAAGTGTCGCCCTCTTTTATCGAGAATGGCTGCTATCAATTCAAGAAGGAAAATTCTTTGGCTAAATCAAGAATTTTCTGACTGAGAAAGCTTGCATCTTCAGACAAAAGAGGGAAGTATTAGATTCCATCAAAGTTCAACATTTTCTCCTTCCTTTTTTGCCTGCTTTTTTGGCGTTACGCAAAAATCAACAACAGACGAGTTGTGATGAAGTTTCTATCAAGTTGACTCCGGCGATTATCCAAAGTGAATAATATGTTATCAGCATCCAAAGTGTTTCCATTTGTATTGATGTTTTTACAACATTTCCGGAAAAGTGAGTTTAGTGTTTTCAAATCAAATGCCAAAAATGGATTACCCGATGCAATAAATAGTTCAAAGACATTTTCACCCATTAAAAAGGGTAAGTTTTCTTTTACGAATGTTCGAATGCCTGGCGGTTTTGATGATCAACTTTGACCAACTGGAATTATGTGTATTTACGCGCCAATTTTGCGATTTGATTGTTCGTTTTTCGTGTTTGAGTGAAAAATAGAGCTTAAACTTTTTCGTTTTCTCTTCTTTTTGTGCTCTTCCGATCAAGGCAATGTTAATGAAGTGACCAGTTTTATTGGTGGAATGGCTCAGTTGCCCTGCAATGTAACGGCAGGGATGAAAGATGATTCAATACGTTTAATATTGTGGTTTAAAGATAGTCTACCTGGCGGACCAATTTACAGTGTCGACTCGAGAAACGCCAGTCTTAGTTTAGCCAAACATTTTTCTACAATTGAAAGCATTGGAGTTCGAGCTTCGTTTGATTTAACAACCAATCCAGCCTACCTTATTCTTGATCCGTTACGAGAAGAGGATATCGGTGAATACAAGTGTCGAGTTGATTTTGTTGAAGGACGAACGCTCACTACAATTGTTCATCTCAAAATAATAGGCAAGTAAAATGTTGATCATTTTCAATTGGAATCAAAGTTTTCGGCAAATTTTTGCTTTAGAATATCGTAAATCAAAGATCTTCAACCAAAAGCTTTGGACCATTTCACAATTAAAAAGCACAGTTGACATCAACTGCTCATCTAGTGAAAGAAAATAATGTAAAAATTGATCGGTCCTTTGAAAAATTACAAATCAAATTGGGAAAAAAATTCGTTTTGTTCGAGTTTGTTTCCAAGTTTTATAGCATTACAATTCATGTGTATTTTTAGGAATTGAATTGCCAATTTTGTACAATTTGAAAATTTGATTCGAAAAAAGCGTTTAAATTTTTTCTCTGAAATCAAATTACGATTATGTAAATAAAGTGATTCATGACTTTGAGTTAAATCTATTGCAATGACTTTGAATTTGATCCGTTTAAATTCACTTAACTTATGAAAATTTTGTTTTGTTTCACTTTGGCCAAGTTCACTTGTACTTAAGTCAAAGTCATCAGTAACCATTCCTGACGCTTTTAAACATGTTTTTCAAATATTGCACAACATTTGATTTGAAAAACACCGTTTTATTGAGAAAAGGTTGAGACTCTGAATATTTTTAGGATAATTGGCATACCTCATGGAAAGACGATAACTGATTCAGTTTTAAAATCTCACTCGAGAATAGCTAACATGAAATTTTCATTTGAATAAACTTTGAATGCATAAATTGTTCTAAGAACGGAATTGTGTGTGTTTTCGAGTTTCTAGGAATTGAATGATATCGAAATTGAAATATTTTTTCGCTAAGAATTGAAGGAGTTTTGAATAAGTTTGAAAGCTATTAATATATTAAGCGACCTCAAAGTGATCGAGAAGAGCTTTCATGACATGAATAATCCGATGAAATGGTAAATCAAGTTTTACGGCAAAATTAACTCAGAAAATCTTTATTTCCGAATCATTGAACTTACAATTTTTCCATTCGAAAACTTTCCGTGAAATGAAAGATCGAAAAGTTCATCATGTGATGAAAAAAAGAACACAGAAAAACAACATTTCCATCAGACAAGCTTCGAGTAAATTTGGCTGATCAAGTCTAACAAATTCATGAATTTCCATATGTAAATCATTAAACTGCTCAAAAAGATTTTCCTTAGAAAACATTGATTCCTTAAGATTGAACATTTTTAAATAACTGTTTAAAATGTTTGCCAATTTTTTGACAATTTCAGTTCCGCCTTCAAACATTGTGATAACTGATTCAAATGGTCATTCAGTTGAAACTTGGGCTGGTCCCTATGATGAATCATCAACAATTAGCTTCACCTGTACATCAAAAGGAGGTGAGTTTACATCGAGTTCGTCCAAATCATTCCAAAACATCAAATTTTTTTCACAGCTCAGATTGATGAGAAAACAATTATTTGATCAAATTTTACTAAATTAAGTCTTTATTAACCTTTGCTGAAAAAAATTATTCATCAGTTTTGACATGAAAGCTGAAAAACTTACAAAGAAGAGTTAGTTTAGAAAAAAATTGAAACATCATTCAAGCAGATAACTTTTAATTTGTATTTTCACACAAATTTAACCAAAATTTATGCAAATTTCAATTCCAATTAAAGTGATTAGAATGGGTTCTCAAGAGAAGATCAAATAAATTAATCTGAAAAGGTTGAAACTGTGAAGTAAATAAACTGTTACAGGTTAAATTACTTTATCTGTAAACAATTAATCATGTTCATTGACTGGTCGATAGACAATGAGAATGGGTTAAAGAGTGAAAAATGGTTTATTTGTTGCAAAATGAAGCAAGGAAAGGATGAGAAGCGAAGAGTGATAAAAATGATGATCAAGAGAATGGATTTCAAATGAAATGGTTTAGATGTAAAGGATAGGAAAGCAAAAGCAAAAGCAAAAGAAGAAGAAGAAGAGAAAAAACGAATTTTCAATACTTGGGTTTCTCTTCATTTTCAGTGTTTCCCGAATGAATCTTGTGTGTTCATCAAGCATGGATATGAGATGGTTATTGAGATCTTGACTGGGATTGATGGATGAAGACACACAACATGAAGATATGGATGGAAAGGGAGTAAAGAATAACAAATGAAAGTAAAGATGAAAAGAGAATGGAAAAAGTTGGCCAAGAGAATGATGAAGAAGATGAAGGGAAAGATAGAGAAGATGAGATTGATAAACAATTGAATGTAAACGTAGTTCAGTTAATTACACACTTGATTTGACTTTGTTTTCACTTCTTGCGCGTTTACTTTGGTTCAACCTCAGCCATTGAGCCAAAAATAATCAATGATTAAAACCTTATTGATGATAATTGTTGCCTTTGATTAGCATCATTAGTATGCTCAACTAAACCCTTGCCTACCAATTAACTTGTTATTTACAAATACAATTGAATGCACATTTCAACACCTTCCTTTCAGTTTACAAATTGACTCTGTTTTTCAGTTTAAACTTTTCCAACTCCAACTCTTTCCTCAACCCTTTGATTCTAATTTAATTTCCTTTCTCTTTTTTCCCTCTCTCGCTCAGTTTCAAGTGGAACAGAAGAGAAAGTGATGAAAAAAAAAGAGTTTAACTTTTTACCTTTTTTGCTCCATTTTCTGTTCATTCAATTTTCTTTTACTTTTAATTCAATCAAATGGCTTTTTCTCTCATTTTGATGAGATTTTGAATTTATCTTGGTAACCGTGAATAGATAACGGATAAAAATCAGAATAACCATTGAAAGATAATGTAATATACTTACCTTTTACTATTTGTATTATCGATTATATTTACTCTCGAATTATCTTCTCTCTTTCACTCCCAACTCTTGTGATATCATTCCCAGTAGATAAAAATTCCTTTTCATTTTCTGCTATTCACTGAAATACTTTTATTTTCTCATCATTTTCTTTCTTTTCCTTTTCGCCTTCTTTTTTCCTTTTTCTACCTCACATTCTCATTTTAATCACGAAACTTTGTTACACTGTTTACTTTTAATTGTAGCTAATGGAAACTCTGATTGTCTTTTCATTTCCAACAACTTCACTATTCTCATCAGAATCATCCTTTTCCATCAATATAAAAGTCTTGATTTTTTTTCCTCTTCAACCAAATCAACAACTTATTGCCAGTGTTTCAAGTCGACAATGACATGATAATGTGCATTGTTAGTGGTCGGTTGAGATTTCATGGTTATTCAAGAAACTTTCATGATTTATTCTGAAACATTTTTTTTCGAAACTTTTCTTTTCTAAATCAGAGTTGGATTATATTGTAATGGGATTTTTATTGATGTGGGAGGCATAAGCTGTTCATTTGTCTCTTCACAGGTTAATAGGTTCATTTTACTCTTTGCTATTTGACTCGATTTTGGTTGCTCGTTTTTTTCCCAGGTAAACTCTAATCTCATGAGACTCTTGATCTTCATCATTGTTTGTCTGTCATTGTTTGAACTTTTGTAACAGGAAAAGAGGATGAATAAATGGCTGTAATTTGATGCAAAATTATCTGCTCGAATTTTCAAAGAAGAAAAAGGCGTTAATCAGACTCGATTAACCTAATCGGTTATTATTGTCTAACACTTTGACTCTTCCGTTCACAGTGAAGATGCTAAAAAGATTAATTTTGTTAATGCAAAAGTAATTGCAGTTAATCAGTTGCACACAATTGAAAAGAATCTACTTGGAATTTGATTCGAACTCAATTTTGGATCGCTAATGAAACTATTCTAATCTTTGCATTTCTAGGAGCGCCATTGCCTTCACTCATTTGGTTCCTCAACGGAAAACAATTGGATCAGCCTTACTTCACTGAAGAATCAAACAAAACTGTTACAAGTAGCCTGGAGATTCACAACGTTTCTCGTGATCACCTCAATTCCGTCCTTATGTGCAAAGCAACTAATGAATTGTATCCAGCCTCGATAAATGTCTCAATTACATTGGATATTAATTGTGAGTAAACTTAGCTGAAACAATAGATGGTAAAATGCCTCGGAAAAGTTGAGCGAAATCGTGAAAATCTTTTTTTTATTAGTTACTTTCTCAATCAATTGCATTTGCTTTGTACATTATGAGTTTATAAGAGTTTTTTTGTGCCTAAAAATGTAACTATCGAGTTACTTTGGTTAGTAAAGTGGCTCAATAATGCAATTGTTTCACCTCCAGCAGTTGGTAAACAATATTACTTTGCTATTGTAATGCTTTAACGATTAATTACCTTTTTATGCTTTTCCTTTATTCCTGTTCCTGAAACGAAGAAACGTTTTTTGAAAAATTTTCGATCTCTTTATTTCCATTGACAGTGAAACCTCTTTCTATTGAAATGATTCCACCAAGGAAACCTTTGATTGCCGGACAATCTGCTGACATTATTTGTGAATCAATGTATTCAAGGCCTCCAGCAGTTTTGACTTGGCTTAAGAATAAAAAGAAGCTTCTTGATGAAAGGTAAAACTTTAATAGTTGCAATTTAAACTCCCACAGAAATGTTCAAGTGCAACTCGTACGAGTTGAAACTAATTATAACACTCATTAAAAATTGCAATTCGAATGGCGATGTTTATTATTAAACTGTTTCTCAATCTAATTTTGCTTCTATTGAAGTTCAAAACGACCTCAAGTTGGCTTTGTAATGCGATATTATTAGCAACAGTTAACATCATTTGCAACCAGAAATAGTAAAGTGCTTAAGATCTAATGAATAGAAATGTGACTTTTTTTCAGTTTAACTCTTTATTCATTGCTAAATATGTAGAGTACAGCAAATATTTGTCCTTTTATCGAAGAAATGAAAAGAAAATAAAACAATGAAAAGTAAATGTAATTGCAGATCGAGTTTGCTTCTCTTGGGAAAAGTTTATTCAATGCTTTTCTATGTATAGAGACACTCGAAAATTGAGAAGCCTCGAAAAAAATGAAACTTGACTTTTTTTCTTGTTCAGCAGTTTGACAAGAATCATACTCAGAATATCAACTTGAGTCAAATGAAACGATACGAGCCAATGATTCCATTATGTTCAAGAGGAAACAAAAAAGGCTTACAGATAACAACTAAAACTGGCAACTGTCGAACAGAAAATTAGCTTCAAAGTTTTGCGACTTTTCTTTTTGATTTTCCTTCAAGTTCATTTGTAGCGAAATTTCATTCTTTCTTTTTCTTTTCCAGAGAAATCATCACTGAAAGCGGCAACAAGACGACAAGTGTACTAAACTTCGTGCCTTCTCATGAAGATAATGGACTTTATCTCATTTGTAAAGCTGAAAATATCAGGCTCAAGAACAGTGCCATTGAAGACAAACTGCTTCTCTATGTAAGGTGTAAGTGTACCTTCATTGTTTCTTCAAGAACCTTTTCTGTTCAATATTCATCGATCAATGTAACTTTTATGCTTTTCAAGTCAAAGTTTCTTTATAATCATTTAGTTAGCAAATCTTTTGCTTCTTCTTTTCATGTTCATCTTTCTAATTGTTCAATAGACTGATTTCAGCATTACTAGCGAAACAACTTTCAGAGACATTCAAGTACTTGTCATGAAATTACAATTGATTCAATTTCACATTCTGCTGTGAACCTTCTTTTCATGGAATTTTTCATTTTTCCAATTTTGTTTAGCAAATATATTCATAAGGTTCTTTCACATTTTTCCTTTGAAAAGCGTTTATTATAATTGTGAATGTCAAACTTGAGTGGAAAATTTGAAGCTAAAAGTTGAAGAGCGAAGAAGAAAAAGAAGTGACAAACAGGGAAACAATGAGTTTGACATTGATCCTAATCAAATAGAAAAGAAAAATGAGACAAAACTCTGAGGATTCTGAAGACTGAAGAAAAGAGAAAGAGTCGTGAAAAAAGTACAATAAGTATCCAAATGCATGTAACAAAACATGTTAAAATATTGATTGAAATATTCTTGACCAAACTTGAACCAAAGTCTCAAGCAAAGGCAAGATTCAAATTTGGATAATCGATTTGCATTGTCTTTCCATAAGCTTTACATTCTTGATCAGCAAATTTGCTCATCAGCAAAAAGTGTTGAATCAACTCTTGGAGAATGAATTTTCCAGTTTTGCTTCGAAATTGCATGAAACTTGGAAAAACTCGACACTGATGACACAATTTTTTGATTCATTTCAGTTGCACCAATTACTTCTCTTGTAATGGAAAACCATCAAAGTTTAATGGTTGTTACTGGTGATAATATTGAGTTACACTGTCAAACCAAAGCAAATCCAGAAGTTAGTGAATACTCTTGGAGTTTTCAAGGGAAACCCATCGATCATAAGATTTCCATGAAAAGTAAGTTTAACTCAATTTGAATGTAATTCTCTTAGCATAAGCAGAAAAGGATGAAAATCACGAGGAAAAGTGTAACGTCAGAACATTGGAAAGAGAAAAGAAAATCTCAGAAAAGTCAGTTTCTTTTGCGTAAACCTGATTCAACGATCATCTTTCATCCAACAACTAATTTCTTCAAAATGCTTTCATGATAATAATGGTTGAATGTAAAATGCTCAAAAGCATCAATGGGCAGTTCGCTGCAAACACGTTTCTGCATTTGAACTTCAATTGAACCAATTTCCTTTTCATTTCGACCTTTTGTTGCAGAAATTTTTTACGCTTTTTGTCGAGTTTACAAAATGAAATGGATGAATTGGAAAGTTTGATGGCACAAGATTGTTTCTCATGTTTTGCCATCAAATCATATTCATTGCTATAATTGGAATGATACAATTTTAGCAAATGCAAAATGAAATAATTTTATTGCATGTTTCATCAAATAAGTTGAATCCACTTTTATGCTTGCTTTATATTCAATTGAACTTGTCTCAATTTCAAGTGTCTATTCAACCTTTTTGTTCCCATAAATATCACTGAATGTTCACTTAAATGGAAACAGTTCAACATTTACTTTTCTGGTAGACTTTTTCATCTCTTTTCATTTCGAGGTTAAAGCTAATGATCACTTGAAAGGAAGCAAAGTTAAACCATAATTTCGACAATTGGTTAATCATTGCAATCTATTTTCATACTTTTCCAACGTAATTATCCCATCGAAAGTAATTGACTCGATAATTGTACTTGAATTTCAATGTTTATAACAGATAGTGACTGCAATTAAAAAGCAAGAAAAGACTATTGATATTGAAGTCCAAATTGAACAAATTAAGCATCAATTAGAATGTCTTTTTCGACTTGCATCAGAACCTTTTCAAACTAACTCGAATGACGCAGATTTGCAAAACAATATATTACAAAGTTTCTCGTTCTTACAATGTTTGATAAAAATAACAACTCGGAATTACATTTGAAGATGGATTTTACAGAAAGTTTCAATATTTTTCAATTCCAACTGCGAAGTAAGTTCACAGTGTTAATCATCTGTACAATCCTATCAATTGTAAGTAATCAATCAAGTATTAAACTCAACCTTGGCTAAACTCTGGCTTGAGCATTGTCTAGTCTCTAAGGAGCAAGTAGAGTCTTTTGAATAACAAGCATTTAGACTCATTTTTCGAACAAGAAAGTTTTTCACTTTTTGAATGCAAACTATTTTCACTTTGTTAACTTTAATTCTTGATGATGATAATAGGATGAAAACCAGTGACAGGGTAAGTAGGGATGAAGGACTGTAAAGAAAACTAAACATGATGAAAAGAAAATTGAGAATCGGATAACAATTTGAAGCAACTGAAAAATAAATAGCAAAAGCCTTGAGCTGATATACACTTTTTGGTTGTTACATCAGACTACTTGCAACCATCTCAATCTTTACTCTTTTTTTCATCTTCTCCACTTTGGTGTTATCCAATATTTCCTGCTACTCTGGGAGTGAGAAAATGAAAAAGCAAAGAAAAATGAAGTGAAAATAATTTGAGTAAAGAAAATTTGTTGAAAGTGAGAAGGATAAAGTTTGTGTCAATTTAAAGTCTGTCAATCAGATGAAAAGATTTTTGTACCTTTTAACTTTAAAGTTTCACTTTACCAGATAATAAGTGGTTGTGTTCATGTGGACAAGCAAACTTTGCCCAAAGGTTTTGTTGCGTCCATCATTGCTGACCATTTGCTTTACAAGTGTTTTCCTTTCAGTTCAACAGAGAAAAAAAACTTTATCAAAAGTTGAAAAACCTCAATCATGAGCCTCAAGTGATGGAAAAGCTAAATCTACATTTTAAGCGACAGTTGATTCGACGATTTTCTTTCACTTGTCCAGAGTGAATCTTTGATAACTGATTGTTAACAATGAGTTTAACTCTTCTAATGTTTAGTTTTCGAAATTGTTGAATTTCGAATTGAAAATTTCTCTAGAGAATCAATTTTGGAAATGTTTTTGCGCAAACCTTTTCTCATTGAGTTTGAACTTCAATTGGTCTGGAATGATTTACCGTTAGGTTATCAAGTTGCTCAACATTAAACAAGTTTAACCATTTGATTGATTTCGATGTTGGCACATGATAAATGTTTATCAGTTGTAATTTACCATAAATTTTAGCTTCAATTTTATTTAAACAACATTAGAGTGGAAAATGATTTATCACATTATCCATTCTCAGTGATAATAGTAAATTGAAGAGACTTGAAATTGACTTGAAACATACGAGTTGGAAGAAGAAACAGAAACAAGAAAAGGTTGAAACAATAAATTTATAATAAATCCAAGGATAAAGGTTAAATTCAATCTAGTGCAACAAAATCAATTGAGCAACAAGAAAAGTATGTCGAGAAGAAGGAAAAAAAGTCAATTTTTGTTTTTTCTTTCCTTTTGGTTTCTCTTGAAATGTTCAAGTTTTAAAACTCAATAACTGAGTAAACCCATGTAAACATTGTTTCACTGTTTATCAACAGCACATGAACACTTGCCAGTGAATTAGCAGAAAAGTGAAAATTGAACAAATGTTGATTGACTGAAAGAGACTGAAAAAAAGACAAAACCAGATAAACCAAGTGTGTTCAAAAAAAAGGTCATGAGATTGTTGTTATTGAGAGTTTACTTAGAAAATTGTTGATACAACTAAATGAAAAGGAAAAGAGATGAAATGAGAAATATCATTATATTTCATTTTACCATTTCTTGTTCATCTTTTCTCATGATTTTTCTTCAACTGTCATTCAAGTGAGATGAACTTGGAGATTATCAAAAGTGAAGCGCAAAAGGAAGAAGCAATATCTTGAACAGGGAAGAAGGGAAAAAGTAAAGTAACTTATCAAAATAGTGGATTTAATATCACTAAAAGTGATAAAATAAATATCGAAAGATATATATCGTTGCATTTCAAGTCAATTCTGTGGAATTTCAAGATTTCTTTCTTTTGCTTTCTTCTAAATCAATCAATGAATTTTTTCCTCATCATGAGTTTGTACAATCATTTCAGTCATTGTGTAATTCAATTCTATGCAACATGATTCTGTTGATTTTGATCTTGAAAAGATTGATACAAATCCAACCTCATTCCACATATTGATAACTCAATGTTTAAACTTGGGAAACTTCGTTGGTTTGTAAACTATTTTAACTTTGAACTCTTTTCAACAATTTCTCGATTTCCTTTATTCAATCAACAAACCACTTAATAGATATTAACGTAATCTTTCCTTTCATGTATTTCATTCAATAAACTTGACATTTACCTTTTCATTTCAGATGCAAAAATCAATGGATCATTTCTAAGCATCAATTCTGTTGGTAAAGAAAATTCTGGATCATATAAGTGCTCAGCTAAAAATGAAATTGGCTCTGGTGAAAGTGACCTTAATCTTAAAGTTAATTGTAAGTTTTACCATCAACAATGAAAATTGAATTCCCTTTCGTTTTTCATCCAACATCGCATTATTTAATTTCGTAAAATCTCAGACTTCGATTGAATAGAGAAGATTCTCATGGAAGTTCATTTTGATTAAAGAAATTACTTCGATTATGCTATCAATCGTCGAAACTTAAAAATCTAGTGTAAGAATCTTGTAAATTTTCTGATCTTATTGATGATTTAGCGATAGAAAGATGTTTGAGAAAGAATGAGTTTCAAATCGCTTTTGTTTAATCAAAGCCTTTCTTGTAACTTAATGATTTTTAGCGTTTTTCTGAATCCGTTGAAATATTTCTATCAAATTCTTGTTCAACAATAGAATAATCATTAGAAAGTTTTCATTGAAATGCGAGTTTTAAGTGCTTTTTAATTGGAAAAAATGTTTAGCTCGAGCAAAATAATTAGTTGATCATTAAGTCGAAGCTCAATACAAAAGCTAAACAGCAAAGTGTAGCTTTTAATAATTTACTTTTCTTTCATCTTGCTTGTGAAACTTTACAACTATTTCAGACGCAAATCTAATTACTTTTATGATTTATTATCAACTGTGTAAATTTTCACAGCCAAATTAAACTTTGTTGTTTTGTTTCTTTTGTGGCAAAAAAGTTTGTAAAAGTTTTCTTTCAAAACAATTTAAAAAACAGTTTGTAACATTAAATGTGATTCAACCGATTAAATCATTTTAATACCAAGATTAAAGATGCAAAATCCAAGAATGAATGAATAATGATTCAAGTAATGAAATAAGCTAAATTGTCTCGAAATCAAATGCGTTTGCTTCTTCGTTTTTTCGGTTTACTTTGTTTTACAAGCAGCTAATACTAAATCAATAACCATACAAAATAACTTGTGGTTAATAAGCATCTTTGGATTGTTCATGAATACTCTTTTATGGATAACTATTCATCGTTTCAATACAAAGTAGCTTCATTATTGCTACTCTTCTTTAGAAAAATAGTTTCTCAGTTGAAAAGTGCAAGTTTACTAAACTCTGGTTCATCATCTTTATCCATGTTAAGCTAACAAGAGTTAGTTTTGAAAATATTTTAACTTTTCCTGTAACTTTTCATTGATTGAAAATCTCTAATTAGTATTCAATGGGCACACAATTTCAAGGGAATGCTTTCAGGAGAAATTTTTATTCTTACAAAGTTCATGATCATGATTAAGTCGAGTAAAAAAAAGTTCAATAAAATGTTGAATTTGCATACAAAGTTATGACAGCAAGTTGCTATTGTGGTTTAAAGCCTTTCAAAAGGTTTAAAATTTTCAACATTTTTCCAATTCTTTCCTCGTAAAGCTTTTTTTAAAGACTAACTTTCGATTTTTTTACATCAAAATTTGTTTTTACAAACTTTTTATGCTCAATAATGTTCAATGTTTTCCAACTGAAACGATCTGAATGAAAATGGTGAAATGATAACTAGGTAAGAATGTTGAAGAATTAAAATGAACAAAATTGAAATTCATGATGTTCTTTTGATAAGCAATCTCAACAAGCAACATAAATACATAACAAGATGCAACAAAATGTCAAACTTCGATTGGAGTCACAATGAGCCAAACTTTACTTCATTTGCTCGTAGCTCAAAAAATTTAATTTCTCGATTTTTTCTCAGTCAAATGTTTCCAATTCTTTGAGGTGATCAGTAGTAATTGGCTCGGGAAGAATTGCGATTGTTGAAAGTTCTGTCAGAATAATGCTTTCCAAAGCTGATCAAAAATCTCGATATTAATATTTTCTCTACTGAAGTTATAGTTGCATCTTTGGATTATGCTCTAATCACTAAACGTCCAAAGGTTTACATTAATGTTTAATAAACTTGTTGGAACAATTATCATGATAAATATTTCATAATCTAACCAGTAGATTGAAACGAAAATGATGATGTATCGAGTAACATTGTAACATTGATTATGAGAATAGTTATAATAGCAATTAAAGAATGAACTTTCCTGACATTTATTATCTGTAGTTCGAGATGTTGTACTATTAGATGACATTGTGAGTACATTAATGTCATTAATTTGATTACATTCATTAGTGATATTAGAGTCGTTTCCTTTTCGTTGCCAGTTGTGATAGAAGGAGAAAACAGCAAGAAATGAACTTATTCATTATATTCATCATTTGAACCATCATCAATTTTTTTTCTTCGCCTCTCTAATTTCCATCTCTGTCTGTCTCTGGCAATTATTTGTCTTTATCATTTAAACAATGGAAAAGGAAAAGTCTTGTGAATAGAAAAGCAATGAAGTCTTGAAATTGTTGAATGTTGGTTAAGTTTTAATATCAATTTTTTTCACGTTACTCTTCATCATTTTCACCATGTTTCAACTCTTTTATTTCCTTCGTTTTTTGCCTACTTTCGTCTGAAATTGTCTGAAAACAATGGATAATTTGCAAATGTATAATTGGCTGAGGAAATTGAGATTTCAGGATCTTTCTCTTCATTGTTTCACTTGATGTATTCAACGTAATTCTGAAACTACCCTAGTTAGATTCCAACAGGGAATTGAACAAGAGTTTCATTTTTTGCGCTTCTTTTCGTGGCTCTTGTTTTCTTCTTTCAACAATTTCCTAAATTACTCCAATGCTTCATCACAGGATATTATTCATGTTACTTTTCAATCATTAATCCAAGGGAAATTGGAATGTGAATAGAAAATACTTTTCTTTCGATATTTTCTCTTATGAATGATTTCTTTGAGCTAAAAGTTTTGACTTCAAGACGAGATACGAATTTTAAAGAGCATTTGCATTTGACGTTGATTCAATTCTCTTTTGTTTATTTTCTTCATCTCAGATTTACCCGTATGTGAACAAAATCAAAAGACTACTTATGGAATTGGTTTACGTGAAACTGTTCGAATACTGTGCGTTGTCGATGCTTCACCGGCTACAAATTTAACCTTCCATTGGACTCTAAACGATACTCAACTTGCCCTTAACCTCAAGTATCCGACCAATGTTGAAGGATTGAGAAGTTCACTTCTATTTACTCCATTGAACTTATATGATTATGGATACATTCAATGTTGGGCTCGAAATGAAATTGGTAGCCAGCAAAAGCCTTGTATATTCCAAATTGTGCCAGCAGGTAATTCCTTTTGCTAATTATTTTTGGTCCTAAATATTTATTTATTGTACAAATCACTCTGAACGGTTATTAACAAAGCAAAACTAGAAAGGATGAGGGTTGAAGAATAGGGAAAAATGTTATTAACAGATTTATTTATTATAATGATTATAAATCGGATTTCAAGTTGAAACTTCGAACGCCTTTTTTGTGGATTTAGATTTTTTCATCAAACTCATTATTCTCGTGTAATTTTTAATGAACATTCAGAACGTGGCATAAATGAATGGTAAAGGGAATTGAATCTACCACCTAAATGAACAATAGTTCGTTGATCCACCATTTTGATGGAAATGAAGTGCATCATCATCTGAAGAAACCTAATATGCATCGTTAAAGGGCATTTTCAACGTAATCGAATGAATTGACCGAGATTACTACCGAAATTCTTGATACAACGCTTAGAATTACAATTCTCATCAATGACAATGCATCACTCGCATAATTTTCAACAAATTATTAATATCGACCAATCACATTTGTTTCTCTTTCTCGAGCTCTGACGTTATATTTTTGTTCAATATTTTTGGTCTGATGAATCAGATGAAACACATCCTAAGCAAACACAGAGAGCAATGAAAGTTATTAGAGATACAATTTTTGTCAACTGCATTTTAGCAATAATTTTTAGACTCAATTACACATTTAAAACAATGTAAGCTTAAAACTTGAACAAATAAAATTGGAGTTAACGAATTTTTATGCTCGTTTTATATTTGCACAATGAGTCAACTTTTCTTATTTATTTTGACTGAATAAATACCAAAGCTCACCACGAGGATGTTGTCTTTATTGTAATTAGCACAATTCAGGTTAACTCAACATTAACTTTTAATTATTTGATATCAAACAAATTGTTTAATGTCATGAAAATTTGTTCACATCAATTTGGAACTCTAAAATGTCTATTGATGAGCTGGCATATGACAAGATCATTTAAGAATAGTTTGTAATGTCAAATGTAAAGCTTCGAATAATGTTTAATTTGCTGTTGTTCTTTTCAAATATATTCAAATCATTTACAAGGTTAACTCTAGCTGAATTGCTGATGAATCATTAAACAAATATCCTGAACTTTGCATTGAGACGAGTTAAATGCATTTCTTATACACGTTTTCAATCCAATCTTACTTTTAAGCTCATTTCTCTTGAAAGACACAAAACTGTTCCACCAAAATCAGACACAGAACGAAAAAATTTAACAACTGAACGAGCACAAGGTCAAACTGCTAAAAAGCTTCTTGTGTCTCAACGCTCATTCATATACCAGGATTAAAAATTAAGTTGAAAAAGTAAGCTTTACAAATCGAAATATCATTTCATAATGAAATCTCAAATTTTTGTTACAATAACTTGTTAGAGTTTATTGTTCAGATTCATTTTTGACCATCTAAGTAAACAAAACCAACAGACAACAAAACATTGTCAACATCGATTAAGGTCTAGTTAATTGTCATCATGCTGAGCCATTCATGACTATTATTTGTATGTAATGTCGCTCTTTGTTTCCAGTGCAACTCTGTTCTGTTTATTTCTTCTTTATTCTTAAATCTCATTCATTGCTATTAATCATAATTTGATTCTTTCAATTAATTCCTGGATGTAACTGCAACAGCAATTGAAATTGATAGCATTTTCATCATTAATCAATCCTGACTTATCTCACTTTGAGGTTGTAACCTTATTCGTTTAGAGATGACAACGAGAAAAGAGAGAGAGAAAGAAATGTGATGATCATGCAATGAAGATAATCAAGACCATGATGATGATGGTGGCAAAGAAAAGATTAAGAATTACCTTTAATCAATAGCAAAATAAACATGAGCTTAGAGCATCATCAATCTCATTGTATATTCATTCACAATTCAACAAATCATTTGCATGTCAAACAAAATAATCACATTGGATAAAGGTTAAACTTCACATGCAATTATCATTAGCTTCAAACAATAACAGAATCCATGAAAATGTTGAAACAAAATATCAAAGTGTATCAAAAGTGAGAAATAACGATTACCTTTAATGACTTTACTCTTCAATGGTTTATCCGTTAACATCTCAAACCATCAAATCATTTTTTATCCTCTACAAAATGATAAAATGACTTACTGTGAGAAAATGCGCTTCGTTTGTTGAACAGCAGAAAAAGTTGCTTCCAAAGTTAAATTCATCAATTGCAGAACAGAAAATATCGTAATTATCGAATTTTTGAGTTATTCTGAAATAAAGAATTTTTTCCTGTTCACATTCGAAGCATTAACTTTTTGAATTTTGATTTTGCGATTTTTTCCATTTTTCCAACTAATTTTTTTCTGAGTGGTTAAATGTTCTGCTGAACTTCCCTTGAAAGTCTTTTTCAGCGTTGATTGCATCTAGTTTGGCTCGAATTTTCATGCAAGTTCATTTAATTTGTTTTTCTTCAATCACATTAAATGGAATAATTTGATGTGTTTACCACTCTTGGTTAATTTGGTCAAGATTCAGATCAAGTTATGTAGGTCATTCTAAGACCCTTATCGATTTATCGAGTCTAGTCGAGTCATTCAAGATGCGATTCCAGTCCTTTCTCAGCTCATCTAGAAACTTTGTAACTTTGTCATTGCAACTTCTTGGTGATTTTCCTTGTACAAAATTGTAGATTTGACTTGACTTTACTAGGAATTCCATGCAAATTTTCTTTACAATAATTATCTAAATTTTAAACGGAAATCGTAATTTTACTTTTCAACCTCCGAGCTCTGCCAATGTACCCTCTAGAGCTAGTCTTGTTAACCCAATTAATCTACAATAAATAAAGGGGAGGTTGTTTTCTAACCTACGCATTTGTGTAAATTTGCTAGAAGTTTGAAAGCTTTTGGCATTTAAAAGGGAACAATTGACCTTCTATTGATAATGTATCAACATAGAGCTTGCTGATTAAATAATTACTATTTACTGTGGCATAAAATGGTAATTTTATTTATAATTTATTAATTGAATGTGAATAAAATTAAGTATTTGTACAGATGTAAGCAGGGTATAAAAAGACATTCAAATCGGAGGAATGGTATCAGTTTGATTCTTAAGCTTATAAAGTTATTTTGCTTTCAATCAACTAAGAATCTATAGAATATTATTAACAGTTATAAGTCAAAATGCAATTGACAAAAATTGTATCCTTCTGCTTCATAATTACTTTCGTTCTCATCACTTTTTCCGGTCTGGTTTATGCTGAGAAAAAACGCAAACCACCAGGTCTTTTGGGTCTCGGTGTCCTTGATTTATTATGAAAGGAGCATCTTTTGACAATCACACTTTGAAGTTTATGGTTTGATTTGCTCCATGTAATAGAATGCCAGTCCTGAAAATAAAATAAAGTTAAATTAAATCAAATAAATTTGTCTGATTCATTTAAACTAAGTCAGACGATCGATCGGCATAATCGGAGCGTGTTTTAAAACGGTATATTTACCTTTGAATTTGTATTTATTAGTCTTTGTTTATTTTCGGTTATTTCGATAGCAAAATCCTTTGTATTGATTTTGGTTCCTAAAAAATCTCCAATTAAGTTTGAAAAATGGTCGCAATTTTTCAGTGTAATGTTCTGGGATGAAATACAGTTGTATATTAGATGATTATCGCCTATTTGATGATCAACATGTTTTTACAGATGCGGAACTCAATCGAAACATCATTTAGAAAAATCATCTCTAATCAAATGATCATGCAATGATCAGAATGATTGAAAAAGTAAATCTTATTGAAAACACGATAAAGGTCCATGGTTATACCATGTAAAAAGCAATTAATCAAGTTTACTATTTATTCATTTGGTCAGTCTTTTTGCTCTTCTCGACTCTTTAATTTACTTTTATTTAACCGGAATGTAATGAACATCATTAATTATAAATAACTTTATTCATTGCTGTAAATCTGGAAACGGTGTTTCAATCAACCTAATCCATGATCTTTAATCATGTTCCTACTTTCATTTCAACATTGATTAATCAATTTCGAAATCTGTAATCTTAATCTTTAATCGACTTTTCATTTTCTGTTTTTTTTCTCTACCTTTTTCCATTCTTATTACCCAACTCTAGGCCGTCCAAGTGAACCCTCCAAGTGTACCAAAACCGAGTTGAATGATGTTGCACTCAAGATTTGCTGTGATCCCGGTTATGATGGTGGACTGGTTCAAAAGTTTCACCTTGAAGTGTACAAAAGTGAACAACTAAGTGCCAATGTAATATCAAATGTGACCACAAGCGAGACACCTCCTTGCTTCACCCTTGACAATTTAACTCCTTCAATCCATTATATTTTCAACATTTACTCGTCCAATTTAAAGGGTAAAAGTGATAAAAGTTTCACATTAACTGGAACCAAGCAAACAACCAAACAACTACCATTAGGTTTGTTCCCATCTCTTTTGTAATGCCTTTATTAAAAGCCAAACGATGATAATTTCTTCATCTCTCTTCCTCTCAACTTTTCATCATTTTCATTATTTTCACTTTTCTTTTCACACACATAAACATTCAAGTATAAAAGACGAAAATCCACTTAACCTCATCATCATCATCTTCAACCCCATCATCCGCATCATCATCACCATCAGCCAGCAACTTGAAGCCATCAAATCAGTCTCACTCAACTCTTTCGTTTTGCAAAAGATAAAAATCATTTCTCCATCATTCAGTCTACTACTCACAGCTAAATTGAAGAGATGGAGAAAAAGATGAAACGAAGAAGAAGAAAAAAAATGTAATAAAATCTAATCCTGCAACTGAAACAATAGACTAAACCTTTGCTCATCCTAATTGTTTACCCATTTTTCCCATTCCATTCATCCTCATCACTTTGCTCACTATTTTTTTCTATTTTTATTGTTGTTCTTTTTCCGATCAGGCACTTTTATTGATGAAATAATTTCATTTCATCAGTAATCTTTTTTAATCTTTCCAACTACAATCAAACTAGAGATCAAATTGAAAGCATTAAGTTGAACACGAACTTGACAATTTTACAATTGAGAGAAACCTTTAAATTTTTCCTGTTCTTCATCTTCTCAGTCAATTGAAACTTTGTCTCAACCTTTCTTCTTATCGTAACAATCAATGATTCCTGAAAGACTGAGTTGTTCAATTTACCAAGTCTACCAACTAAACTTGATAAACACTAACACAACACAAATATAAGTCAGGAAAAGAGAGACAATAATGACAAATAATAATAATGATAAGATGAGCTCAACAGAAAAGAGCTGCAAGAGGAAAAAAGAGAAACTTCATCAACTTTCCTTCGACTTGGATGGAAGTTGGCAAAGAATAGGAAAATGAAAAGAAAGATGGTGATGACTGAATAAGATGGAAAAAGGTGTTGATAATAGTGATGATAATATTGATGATAATCAGAATGATTAGAAGCCAGAGCTTGGAATTATCTTCATCTGTCATTTCATCGTTTTTTTCACTCGCCATTTCAAAACATTTCCTTTTCTTTCGACTCTTTTTTTCCTTCGCTTCTTTTTCGGCCTCTAATCATCATTCTGATACACCTTTATTCAACATTTACCGCCATTCCTTGAGCCAACTTTCAAAACTCACTTTTCACCTCAACATTTACACTCTTTCTCTATCAACTTTGTTCTGGACAAAAGCGCAAGAAATAATGAAAAGAATGTAATGATTCTCTCTTTTTTTCTTTCTTTCACTTCTATTTTTGTCATCCATATCTTCCATGTGGATCATATTTTCACCATTTTATGTACCAATTTCATTGATGTTAATGGTCATCATAATCATGATTATTATGGTCATGATCTGCTTGGAATACTCAGAGAAGGGAACAAAAAATGCAAGTCAAATGTCTTCCTCGATGGTAACCATTGCCTTTGCTCTTCTCTTCCTTTCGAGTTTATTGGTTCTGATAATATTGAGACGAAGATCTAAGACAGCCAAATTATTGCCTAAACCAGAAATGGATGTTAACAGTTATTCACCTTCACTGTAAGCAATCAAATTATCAACAGTTGAAATAGCTTTTAAATGGGAAAAGATGGAAATGCTAATGAAGAAAAACAAAAAAATGAAAGCAAAAATTGCAACAAGAAAAAGCCAGAAGAGATAGAGAAAAAACAGAAAAGAAATAAATGTTTCTTACATTTGCTTTTCTCCATCTTCTTTCCATCTTCATCTTTTCTCTGCTAATATTTTGATATCTTTCTTATCATATTAATATATATAAATACATAAATGCATTTCTTTCTCCATTAACTCCTTCTCAACTCCCTGTTCATATAAATGGCATATATTGACTACATAACAGTAAACCTTCACCTTCTCAATTAAATCTTGAAGCTAAAAGTCCGGACATTATTCCATTACCACGAACAAGCATCGGTCAGTATTATTAGATAATATTATTTAATCTCTTTTACTCTTATCAAAATCACTATCTCATTGTTGCTCGTAATACTCCCAAGCCATACTCCATGCAATACTATTTCAACTCCCAGTTATACTCCCAGTCACACTCCCTGTTAAACTCCTTGTTTAACTCCCTGTAACACTTTCAATCTTAACTCGATGGTTTATCAAATCATCTCATTATCATTATAACCATTTTTCACGTAAATTTCACTTTACTAGTTTACTCAACAATGTAACTAAACAGCTTAAACTGATCTATTCAGTTACATTGCCAACCCATCAGCATGTATTCATCTACATGCATCTACATTTAACCTTTCCACACATAAAATTGTTTTGAAAAAAGAGCAATTTTATTTTCAATTTATCCATTTTTCAACACATTTTTGTTACACAAACATACACATTTTAAACTTTTTTTTGGTCCCATCATAGCTGACAATATTGATGATATTAATGATTATGGTGTGCTTTTGTTTCACCTTAACTTTGTAAAATTTGACTTCAACTTTTGAAGCCAAACAGAATGGTTGAAATATGTAAATAAAAGTCAATGTTAACCCTCGTTTGAAGACAATTTAGTCAACCTGAGCAAGACCCTTTTGCCCATCAAGCCAGCTCTTCCCATTCCCTGTTTAACCATCATTACTATCACAAGATGATCAAATGCAAAGCAGAAAAAACAAGAATAGCAAACAGATAAAAATGATTTTCTTATTTATCCTCATAAGAGAACATTTATTCATCCATTGATCTCACTCTACCGATCATTCCAATCACTCTTCCTCATCCTCATCTTCATCCTCATCATTATCATCCAAAACTGTGAGCACAAAACAAATAACATTCTCTTATCTTCTATTCCCTTGCACTTACCTGATTTAAAATTAAAATTGATTCCGACTCAGCCTAATTGAATAATCTATATCTAATAATAATAATAGTTCGAGGACAAATTTCATTTTTTATATTCACTTTTTTTGCTTTTTTCACTCCCTGTCAATCCCTTCATCCATATGATAAAATCATTGATATTTAATTTCTTTGACTCACATTGACATGCATAATACCTTGAACAGGCTAAAATTGAAGCAGTAAACTCGAAGGAGAAAAAAAGTGAATAAAAAAAAGAAAAGAAAAAAAAGTTTCTTCTTTTATCTCAAACTGTATTTTCCCTTCTCTTTTGCATCCTCATCTATTACAAATATAAAAAGCCATCAAATGTCAACTGTAATCCAATTTGATTGATTACCAATCAGCTTTAATTTAACCAAAGATGAAAAACGCTGCTCATGAGGCAGAGCGAGAAAGAATAAAAATTCAAATTTTCTGCTGATTAACATGATGAACCTGAATAGTTTCAATAAATTCATTTGAATATCATTGCAAAACTATTCTTTCCATTCCCTGACATTTGTAATTTATCTTTATCAATTCAAATATTATCATTGTTGTTTCAATATTAACCATTGAATAACAAGATAAAAATTGAGTTTCGAGTGTTTACTCATTGGAAAAGAGAAACAACAGAAATCAAGAAGAAAACAGAAAAATAGGAAAAAAATGAATCGACTTTCTCCTCTTCAACATTGACAGAAATTACCTGCGATATTGGAATAAATAATAAAAAAAATTCTTCACAATTTACATGCAATTCTTTCGGTTTCCGAAACCAATATCAATAATCAAAGTAGAACAATTTCATTGAGAATTCTCATGAGCTTCTTTTTTCGTTCTCATGATATTGTCTCTTTTGATTAATCATGAGAACTTCAACCCTTTCTCATGGAAATAAGAAGCTCTTCAGTTCTACTTTTTCAGCAATTCTGTTTATCTTTCCATTCATCTTTAACGTCTTATCATTTTCTTGTCCATTTTTACCTTCTTTACTTTTACCTAAAAATTGAACAAAACTTTGAACAATGCTTTTCCATGCAATATTTGTTTAACAATTGTTCAATATTTTTTCGAGTTTCTGTTTCATTTCATGAATCTTTATTCACTTGAAGGAATCAAATCTAATTTCATCATTTTTCTTTTTCCTTTTCCATTTAAAATTTAATTCTTGTTTATACACAAACTCAAAGTCAAATAATCACATTCATCAATTTTACCAAATTTTGTTTCTTTTCTGATTCCAAAGTTGTTTTTTCTCAATTCTTCTGTTCATTTCTACTTTTCTTCTTCAAACAGATTTTGAAACTGAATCATTCATTCAATCATGGGCCAATCTAGAGGCTAAAAATGATCGAAGAGCCATTTACATTTCTTGCAAAGATGCCAACTCAATGGCCATTCCAATGAAAAGGATTCCTTATAATGCTGTAAGTGGAACCTTTTATGATAAAAAAAGTCAATTTCATTCAACTATTTATAACCAACTTGTTGACGAACATGAAAATACTCAGTTTGTTATATCAATTGGAAAAAGCTTAAGATTCCTTTTCTTTAATCTCAACTGTAAACCCTTTATCCACTTTCGTCGATCATTCCAAGTAAAGACTATCGACTATCCTTTGAATGGAATTTCCACTTTTATCGAAGAAAAAAAATGTGATAAAGGAAAGAGAGAAAAAACTACCAATTTGGTTTATTTTCTTAAACTTGTACTTTTTGTTCGCCATCACCACACATTCATCATGATCATCTTTCACATGTTCAAAGATTCCTTGACGTTTTCTTGTTCATCTTTTTTCTTCTCTTCTTCTCTATTCATTTTTGCATGTCAATAGAAGAGTTTTATTCACCCTTTATTCTACTGTAACCATGGTTTCATTAAATTCGTAGAGAAAAATCTCGCAGCATTTAATAGTATCGTTTACTCGAGAAAACAAATGAGTTTAACAAAATGAGAAAAGGTTTGTAACACAGTTCATCAACTCAGAGATTTAGTCTCATTATTATAGTTAGATTTTCTGGTTTTTCTTGCGTTGAATTTTCTCAACAGAATTTTCACGATTTTTCTTTTTCACCTTTTCTGTCAAAATGCAAAAGGTGAACCATGATGATGGTATTACATATTCAATGAAAGGAAATGTTTAAAAGTAACTGTGAACAAGTTGACTTCAAGGGAGGCAACAAACATCTTTCAACCCAACACAGTCTCACCCCTGGGTTGGAGTTTATCATTACACTCCCGTTGTTTTTGCACCTTGACTTTGCTTCTAATGGATCATGGATTTGTGCATGATGATGAGAAGGGAATGTCAAAAACAAAAATAACTTGCCTTTGTGTTCACTGTTGATTTGGTGGAAAATAAAGAATCACTTTTTGTTCACCTTTATTCTTTTCAACTTTATCTGCTTCATGTTTTTTTCTCTCTGCTTACCTTTTTCAACTTTTCCTTCTTTTCCTTTTTTCGGATCATTATCAAGGATAACATGGAGAAAAAGGTGAAAAGGAAAAGATGCAAAATGTTAATTTTGAATTGACCTTTGGTTCACCTCATCATTCTCATGATGTTCATTCATCAAATGTTCTCAATCATTATTTATCTTTCACAATTTTCACACTTTTTTTTCTGCTTCTCCATATCATCTTATTTCATGATAAGTGATTGACAATTATCGAGTTATCCTTGGATGAAGAAGGAGAGAAAAAAGGATGAAAAATTTATTCCATTTCATGATTCATTTCCAGCAATATTATCCATGACAGAGTCAATATCTTACATCGTTCCCTGTTTATACATATTTCTTTGCTTTCCTTTGCTAGAGGCAAATACTTGTTTAGTAATAAAAATTGTTAACAACATTAATAATAATAATATTGATATTCAGAGTAAATCTTCCCTCAAGGTGCTTCAACTGACGAATTATCAAAGTTAATATTGGCACTTTGGGTTCACATCACTGACAACGCATTTGGATTCCATCAAAACAATTAGTTACAATATAACAATTTAACCCTGTAATGGTTGATAAGAAAATGATTAACCTGAAGAAGACAGAATAATCACTTGAATTCCAAGATCATTCAAGGTTAAAATTCATATTCAGTTGATGGTTAAATAAACCCAACTCAATCCACTTCAAGTTGCATTCTTGACGATTTCAACTGCATCAACAAAACTCGAAACTTGTGTTGAAATTTATATGAAATGCTAGTCCTTTTTGATTGGAAAATGAAAACAAATTAGAACATTTCAAGTGACACAAAATTCGATATCAGGAAACTCGTGAACCGGCACATTTTCCCAGTAAACTGATTCGATGAGATGAATAAATTTCCATTTGCACAGTTATTCAGATAATGTCAATAGATACCAAACGAAATAGGAAATGAATTTTAATGGAAAAACATTTTTATTCCATTTCCATACTTTTCATCTTCCATGTTGACTTTCAATAGGAATACAGGTTAAAATGAGACAAACCTATCATGTTTCAAATTTTGATGTCTCAATCTTTTCTTCTATCAATACAAATTTTGCGACTAAAAATGTCAATTCACATTTTTTCCGTTCAACTTTGATTCTCTTTTCCTCGACTTTTAGTTAATGATGAGACTGATTATTTTGAAAAGAAAATAGAAGAAAAAAAAATGAAAAGATTTTCTCTTTTTGTTGTGTGAAAAAAACGTTGAACGATAATGGATAACCCTGAACTGAAAAGAATATCATTTTACTATGAAAAAAAAGAGAAAGAAAAAATTTCCATCTTTCTCAGCATTTTAACCAAAATTTCAACTTGAAAGTAAACAACAGCAAATGGATGAAAATAATGATGCTGTGAAACGGTAAAGAAAGACTGTGAGAGGAGCAAAAATGTGATGATAATTTGCAGCTTGGATTATCTTACATTCAACTTTTTCAATTCTCTGAGAAAAGAAAAGTTTCCAAAGCTAGTTTTCAAATAAAAATGTTAAGGTCAACAGATATTATCGTTATACATTATTGTACATTTTTCAAGTGTTACTCGAGTCAAAGTTGAAAAGTTGATGAAGACATGAAAGTGAAAATACAAGGGAAAAAGGTTGAATGGTGAAAATTTGCTTTTGGTAAAAATGCTAAAATGCTTTTTTCGCCTTTACTGGATAAGCAAAGTACTAAACATTATTTACACTCATGAAGCAAAGGGATTAATCAAGTGTTTTTGTTGCCAACTTTTTCACTCTTTAATGTTTACACTTTATGCTCACCATTTTATACTTTTTGTTCAATCAGGGTTAATGTTGAAAAATTTTTATTTATTGTTTCCATTGGCATTTCAACAGTCTTTGCTTTCGCTTTTTTTCACTTCAATTGAAAACCATTTTTTCTTTTTCCACTTTTCTTCTCTTAACCACATTAACCACAATTTATTATGGCAATTGGTGAAACTGTTTATAAATGATTATTTATTTCATTTTTGTTTTCATTTTTCTTCCGCCTGCTAATAACTATCATCATGATAATTAGTTTGAAAAGCGAGCTTTCAGTTAGAGAAAAATGGAATGAAAAACGAAATTTAATTTGTGGCCAAAAAGTTGACATTCATTCGTTTCCACTCTTGAGGACATTGTTTTGTTTCAAATCTCTTTTTTCATGGCATTCTTAATCAAACTTTTGCAAAATTGCTCACCGATAAATTCCTTTCCAGTCTTTTCCTGCCATTCTAAGCTGTTCAGAACGTCATCAACTGCTATAAGTGAGTTTCGTTATTTCGAATTGAGCCGCGAAATCGTTAGAAAAGTACCTATTTATAATTTCTGATAAGTATTGATGAGTTGAAGTTTGAATTGCTACAAATTAAAGCATCATTCACCGTCAGACGTTTTTTATTTTACTATCAATTTCTCTTTTCAGTATTTTTAGAATAATTACAGAAAAGTAACTCAAACATAAGTGCTCCGAATTAGTGTATCGTGTAAAATTTTAATGAATTGATGAGGATTTTTTTTGTTTATTCTTTTATTGAAACCCAAATTTTATTACAGCAAGATTATTTCTTTATATCGATCATTGAAAGATGACATAAGAAGCTCATTTATTGCAATATCAGATCTGGAGACTCATCAAGGCGTTATCGAGCCAGGTCCGGGGACACGACCATTATGAAAAGCATCCAAAATATTATCGTCAATGGTTCCAAGACCATCACCAGAAACATCTTCAGCGAGATCTTCAGCGACTCCACTTAAATCAAAAGCGAGATGTCCAGAGAAAGTACAGAGAATTATGCAAAAAGATCAAAAATAAAATTTTTGTCAATTGCATATTGAGTTTTCGTTGTTGTATTTTCGAATTGGGTTACACTGATGAAAACTTTGTAAGCTGTAAACGTTAACTAATAACTTTAAATCAGAGTTGATGCCTTTTATACTCATTTTTTATTTGTTTGATAAGGCAACTTTTCTTATTTATTTTTGTCTGAATGCATATCATAACACACCACGAGCATATTATCTTTGTCGTAAACAACACAATTCAGGTTTACTCAGCATCAATATTCGATTGATATCAACAAAAATTTTCAATGTCAAGAATGTTTGATCAAATTGATTCTTCAATCCATCAAATGTCTGTTGCTGACTTATAATAAAAGTAAATCATTTAAGAATTGTTTTTAATGTCAAATGGGAAAATTCATTAATGTTGATTTTGCCGTTGTTTATCAACTAATATGCAAATCATTCGTAAAGTTTATGTCGCCCAAATTTTTCAATGAATTCCTTCGAAACTTGTCTATTGGTGAGCTTTCATATGACCATTTCATATTTATTGAAAATCGATTGATTGTAACTAAATTCATATTTACATAGGAACCACTGTCTTACTTGCTTGTAATTTGGTTTAATTAGTTAAAGTAAATTTTTGTTTCGCAGATCAAGAACGGAAGTGCTTTCATCCGTTTCAGATCAAGTTTTAGAACCCTCAAGTCCTTTCGAGCCCTTAAATATCTCTCGATAAACCAAAAACTTGGTAGATTGGTTAACCTCAAAATTTTGTATTGATTACCAACAAAATTTTTTTTCTCTTTTCATGTCTTCCATCTCAGATTTGCTCCGTATTTTTACAATAAAACTTTTGTATCATAACATGTAATTACAAGTTACTTACAGGATAAAATATTAATCAAATTGATTTTTGCTCTTTCAACTGTTCATTGTATTAATACAAATACAATCAACTGACAAATGAAATGTTTATCTAATACATTTCATCTTCTCCTGGTCAAACAGTTAATTGACACTATTTATTATTTATTGCTATTGGTTCGTGTGACGCTACTGGATTAAGCTTCCATCTCCCATGAACCTCAGTCTCTATTTGCTTGTTTCTTTACTTGTTCATCCCTTCATGTTGAAACGAATTTGTTTGGTTAAATTTATTCAACCAAAAAAAATAAATTCTAAGTCAATCGTCAACCAATTTTGGCTCACTTTTCTTCCCACTCTTCTGTTTATCATCCTGTTCACTCATCCAACAATTGTATTATTTAGCGCAACATGAAATATATGATTTATATAAATGTATAAACATTTTACTTTTTGCTTCTTCCAAACATTTTTTTCTCTCTCTCTGTTGTACTTTTAATCATGAAATCAAGAAAAGGTAAGGTCAATTGAAGACGCTTATTCAAGGTGTCTTCGTGTGATTCAACATTTCAACATTGGTTATCTTCTGTATAAGCCATCTTTCAACTTTCACTGTTGGGAGTTGCAATCGTTTTCTTACCTTTACTTAATACTTTAACTTTGACTTGTTCTCAATCAAAATCTTGTTATTTGCTGATTCAAAGTAAATCAATAAATCCAAGTGAAAATATTCTGTGCAAAAAAAACGAAAGACAAACCTGATGATGAATAAGCTTCATGAAGAAAAAAGTGAACTTCAAGAGGATAAAATATGGTTCCGATGATCCGTTCGTTTATCCATTTATTCACTTTTTCTCGTTTTTTTCTCTCTTCATCCTCCTCATTTTCATCATCCTTCTCCCATGTTCAACTTTCTTTTTTCTACTCCTACTGAGAAATTTTATCCCGATGGAAAGTGTGATAGTTTTTTCTTTTCTTTTCGACTTTTTTTCAAGTTTCATCTTGAAAATTGTCAGCACAGAACAAGGTTTAGAAAGGAAATGAAAAAAATTGTTAACGAAAAAAAATGTGCTTTATTTATAATGAAATGGGTGTTGAAAATAAATCTTTGAAATGAACATTTCGAGTTTAATATATGCATGAAAGAGACGATATCTTGATAGAGCTATTATTGGTCAAGTTGAATAAGAAACCTTTGAACCTTAAACTTGCCAACTTATGAAGCTATTTACAGACAAATCTACTTTCATGTTAAGTTCTTCAATTCATCTTTTCTTGCTGATTTGAACAGTTTGCTTTCTAATAAACTCAACTCGAAATAAAATCCCATGAATTTTCTTGTCATTTCAACTTAAATTCATTCAGAGAAACATAAAAAAATAAACTTTAAGCAAAAAAAATTTGATTCTAACGAACCCATAACCAGACGGAAAATTTGCTGACCTTTTTTAAGCTCAAAAGTGTTTCAAGCACTACTGATATATGGTTCATCATCAGCTGGTTATTCTTGGTTTCTTGGCCTGGCATGTTGTTTGCTGGAAATTTGCTTTCTTTAAGAAAAAAGTGCCAAAAATTGAAAATTTTAACTCGTTTGAAGAAGATTAATGTTGATACAAAATTTTGTCAGCTTTGAGCTTTAGGATAATGATTGAAGTCGAAGGTGCTAAGGAGTGAAAATGAAAAGGAATAATAAACACGTAAAAAGAGATGAAACAAAATTTGAAGTTGTTGCTGCCTTTTCCACCTTGATTTGCCATTTCATTCACGTTCAACTAACAAACTCATCACATTTTGCTCGTCTTTCTTCTCCCTTCTTCTCCCATCATCTTATCGTCATAAATTTACTCTTTTTTCAATTACAATTCACTGCAAGTAACTTTTTGCTTCTTTTGTCACTTTGCCTTTTTGCCTTGTTTCACTTCACTCAACTATTATCGTTCATTATTGCTCATCTTACAGGATGAGAATCATCATCATTAGCATCATCACCAACACTATCAACATGCTTGTCGATTCTTTGGCTCACCCACTATTAATAAGTCTCACTACATTGAAAATGATTCCAATAACATTGTGACGTCCATTCAGTTTCGCTCCTCTTTCTCTTCGTACATACACACATTTTTTTGTTCTTTACTCCTCACTTTCCGGTTCCGTTCAGTGAAACTTATTGCTAATATGATATATTATTGTATTATACTTCCGTTAAACATTCATTGTGCTCTTGTAAGTGAAAGAGCAAAAGGATGATGAGAAGAGAAGAAGAAAAGTTCCTAAAAGAAAAGGCAAATCAGTTAATAAATGACAAAATTTGCTTTTCAAACCTTTCAATGTTCGACGTCATTAGACGATCAAGGAAGGTATTAATAAAGTTCATCATTCCATTCATTGTTACTGCACCTTTTATTCAATCCTTTAAAATCAAAATTGCAAAATGAACTGCAAAGAGCATTTCCGTGAATATTGATATTCTTGCAACACGTCAGGCTCATTCAAATATTGATGCGAAATTGTGATTTTAATATTTTAATGCGAATAAATTTCGCAATAAAAAAGGGAAAACATTTGTATCTGATTTCACACGAAATAAAAAATGTTCATTTTTATTAATTTCCGTAAAAACAAATCTAATTTGGTAACAATGTGTCATGACTGTGAATCGCCATGCAAATTCAAAGTTTTTATTTCCATTCGATTCGTTCCATTAAGTTAGTTTACAGCAACTTCACAGCTCGATCTCAATGTGTTAGATACTTTTGCACTTCATTTATCCTTTGCTTTTGTCATAGATATTTTCTTGTTCAATTTTTTTCGTAAAAATTATTTTTTGGACGAAATTGGAAAAAAGTGAAAAATTTCATGCCTTCAGAAAATCCAACATAATTGCTGATCTTGCTTGAAACAGACTAGAGACAGAATTAAACTCTGAATCTGTAAACATTCTAGTTATAATATTTTGTTACTACGCATAAGTTCACTGATTATTAGGACAGACTAAGCAGTAAAGCTGTTTGTTACCTTGAATTGCATTCTTACACGAACCAATCAATGAAATGAAACTCAAAATAGTCAATCGACTTAATCATCAATAATCTATTTCTAAGAGTACTAGAGCAGTCTTAAAGTATTGAAAAATGGAACAAAATTTGTGCATGGAAGATCAGTATTATAATTTTGTTAATCAATTGATAAACTCTGTTTGCCGTTTAACCATTAGATTAACGCATAACCGATTAAATCAATGCGATGCAACGAAATACAGAAATTGGACAACTGCCAATGAAGAGGGAACAAAGAGAAGAGTAGATCAAACGATGGAAGCAAATTAAATGAGCAAACGTTAAACATGATTGATACATGATTAACCATTTTTACCTGTAAAAGTAAAGAGTAAAAATATGTTTACCATGATCAATGAGCATTTGTATTCATACTCAATCTTTCCTCTTCTTTCCTTATTCCATCTTCATATTAATAATCATCAAATGATCCATCGAGATTTGTCATGAGAATAAGAAGAAAAAAATGAATGGAAAATTGAAGTAAACAGTAAACAGGAAAAAAGGTAAAATTGATGATGATGCAGTAAATTGTTGGGTTACTTTGATGAACCACTAACATGATGAAAAGAAAGAGATGAATGTCGAGTTTCAGATGCAGACAGAGAAAAAAGTAAATCGAAAGATTAATATTGAAAGAAACAAGTTTAATTCTTGAATTGAAGGTTATTATTCATCTATTTTGTCTGATATCAAAATAATGATAACTTTGTGTAGAGTTAATTTCGATAGATTGAACCATTTCTGTTAACTTTTTGTTAACATTAATCTTGGCCAAGTTACACATTCTCTATTCATTGAATGTTATCGATGATGAAACGAGATTCAAACCATAATTTGCTTCTCTCTTCATGAATGGTGAAAAGTGAGGGAAGAAGAAAAAAATTGCAACTTTATGGTTATTTCACTTTTCAAATCTTCTTTTGTATTCACTTGTTGTTCAACATAATTATCGTTGTAATATTTACACAAAATGTATTTCAACCAAAAATGAACTTTAAATTGATTGGAAATTTCGATTGTGTGTTGGTTTCAAAGTTTTTTTCTCTCTTTCAATGGTTTCCAAAACTTTATCCACAAATTTATTGACTCACGAGGGAGGTGTCCCAGGTGTATAATGATGAAAAGAATTTGATTAACACATTTTTTTTCTTTAATCAACTTTCTCTTGATGACAATTGTAATCTGACTCAAGGGGATCCAGAGTTTACCATGCAAATTGATATTAAATTTTCACATTAATTTGTCCCTTTAAAGAGATTCAATGGAATTGATTAAACTTTTTTTACTCTTTTTACCTTTTCTCTCATTCATTTCATTTCAATTAAAACCACAAACTCGGGAAACTCTAACCTTTGAGTCTCCATTCATTGTTAATCATTTCTAATGGATATAACCTTTTTCATGAGATTCTGTTCTGTACAAGTTAAACATGTTTCAGAATTCAATTGAAAACATTTTTTTCTCTTTTTGTTTTTCCTTACTAAATTTTTCTTTCCATCTTTACAGATAATTTCAACTGATCCAACAAATGAAATGATGGCGATGCCTTACACGAGCATTGTTTAACTTCAACTGCAAGATCAAGTGCGATGGAAGGAAAACAATTGAATGGAAAAAATTTTAAAAATTATTTTTCTCTTTTCGTTTCTTTTTGCTCTTCTTTTGCCCATCAAATTTCATTCCAATAAAGTTTACTTTCTACTGAACAAACATTGTTCCAGATTGTATTTTACTTTTACCTTTTTCTTTGTTCCTTCTGATTGAGAAAAGGTGAAATTCACGGAAATTTAATTCACTGTAAAGTTAAACAGGAAATTGTCCAACTTTTGAGATGCAATTTGAAACATCCTCAGGGTTGAAATGAGCTGATGGAACAAGAGTTTAAGAAAAGGTTGCCAATCAATTTTGCATTTCTTTCTCAGAATCGAATCAAAGTGAACAACATTGAAAGGAGAAAATGTTTAAAAAGATAAATTCATTTTAATGATTAACTTGTTAAACTTTTTGTTCTTTTCTCATGTTTCATGCTTTAGAAACTTGATGCTTAAATATTTATCCAAAGTGATTCTTCACTTTTTTAGAACAATCTTGAATTGAATTGTTTCCAACCTCAACAGTCTCGCTCTATTTACATGATTTAACATCACAATTGATCTGATGAGATAAATGGTGAGTTTGTGAGACTGTGAGATTTAAACATTATTCAACCCAAAAACTGTACAAATTTAAACCTTTCTTCTCCATATATTCAAATGGTATATGTAGTTGATTAAAGTTGCTCCAATATTTGGTGGTTTATGACTAAGTTCTGGTATTTCTTGGTTTTGTTTCGTGTTTATTTGGCATTGAAACATTTCTCTTGTTTCGTGCTTCGTTTTAATCGACTTAAACTGATTCTCTGAGATTCAATGGCGAAGGTAAACGTTTGACTTGTGTTGTTGGTGGTTGACCATTTTGCTGTTGGTTTGAGGGTAAATAAAGAGTGTTCCATAAGTAAGGCGACAATTTACAAAACTAAATCATTTTAATCCCAATTGATGAATCGCTTCGGATCTTCGGAATATCAAAGATGCTAGTTGAAACAATATAAAAATCAAAATAGAATTGATTTCTACCAACTAGTTGTAATTTTATGTAACTCTATTTGAGGGTGAAAAATTAATTGTTTGCCAAGCTAATCTTTTGATTTTTGAGGTATTAATTTTTGAATTATTTAGAAAATAATACATTTAGTCGTTGTAGACTGAGATTTTAAGTATATTTAATAACTTTAAGTTCAAAAATCGCCCACATTTCTTAGCTAAGTCGTTTATGAGATATACCAGAGTAAAGTTTTGTCGCTTTACTTATGAAACACCCTTTAGCATTTCGAAGGCAAAAGTTTTCCAATCGATTACAGGTTTCTTTCAGCAACGCGACGTAAGGACAATGCGAATGTAGCCATTAACACCAAACATTTTCTCTGAAAGAACGAATATCGACTCTTCTCACATTAAATGTTCAACGAAATAAAGATCAGAAGATAATTGAGGAAAATAACTTATATCTATTAGGTCATCCAAAACAAAATGATCGGCTTCGTAATATTTTGATTTTCTTTGTTTATGAGTCGATTTAAATGAAATTTCGTACACTACCTTAGGTACAATTCAACAAAAGGCATGATTGGTGTTAAACCTGAAATACGTTTTAGGGCCGGTCCGGTAATCATTTTCAATCTCATTTACCGCTCGATTCAAAATTGTCCTGAATTCAGATAAATAAATTATTACGGGATTTTCATCTTGCTCGCAAGATACCTTATGCTCCTAAGCTTCGACTGCACGAAAAATTTATTGACTAGGCTGGTTCTTTGTGCTCGAAGCTCGCGATCTCTGAGATTACACTCTTAGTCTTTTGAGCGATATTTTTTCCTTAATTTAGAGCGGAAGCCCAAAACTTCACGGTCGATTCAGAAGCGCTTCCGCTACCTAACAATTTAATAAACTGCAAGTGTACAAAACCAGCACTACATTGCGAAAATACAAAGAAAATCACGATTTCGACCATTTAGGGCTTCGAAATTCAATTTTTCATAATTTGTTCGAAGTCGATCGTGAATAGTCAGAATTTAATGACATGATTAGATAGAGTGAGAAATAAGCTTTAAATAAATGCATTATGCTAGTGCATACGCCAATTAGTTATTAAGTTACAGCGTCTCAAAGTCCGATCATTTTGTTTTGAATGACCTAATATTTCAATCTGAGAAAAGAAAATTGGAAATTACTTTTCGTCTTTACTCAATTTTCAGTGTCAATGGCAAAGGTTTTACTTTACATTATGCACCTTAGGTACAATTCAACAAAAGGCATGATTGGTGTTAAACCTGAAATACGTTTTAGGGCCGGTCCGGTAATCATTTTCAATCTCATTTAATGTCATTTAATTCAATATCTCATTAAAAAATTTTATCTTGAAAGGATATCATTGGTTTGATTGATGAAAAATGTTACCTTTGTCATGCTCATATAGTTTAAAGTGTCCGGTGAACATCTCTTTATAATTTTTAATTGAGATTGAAATGATTACCGGACCGGCCCTTACTATGAAGTAACAGATTTTGGCATTTGTTTACTTCGATGAGATTTAGTTCGAAACTAAATTCATAGTTTATGAGAATCGCAAATTATTTGTTGATTAAGGTCGGAATGTTGGTTAATTCAGTTATTTTCGAGAAGAACTTTTTTAAATTCGATTCTCGACATTTAACTAACATACATATTAATAGAATAAACTCTTGCATTTTACTCAAATCAGTGATTCTAAACCCTCCTACTTATTTCTGAAGAATTAAGGAATTAAATTAATTATAAAAGTTAATAATCACACAAAAAGCATCTTACGAAATGAATTATTCAATGTCATCTCTCGATTAATTTATCAATTAAGTGAATAATCCCCTCTGATTATTGATCCAATTTTCAATCTTTCACTGTTTTTTTAGATTAAACGCTTTTCTACTTTTTACTTCAAAATTTTTGTTTAGTTTATGGAACCAGAATGATTCCAATGGGAATGATTGAAGAAATTAATTTTTATTTTCTTTTTCTTTCAACAGCTGCCATCTTTTGACGACGAAACAAGCTAATCTTGCAATTACTTTTTTCGTTGAACTTTTAAATCTCACCTTTCGATTGTTCCTCTGCGTGATAAAATGGGAACATCTTGAGTAAGGGAAGCGATTGGAGTTAACTTGTGTCCAGGAAAAATATTTATGTCATATATTTTATCAGCAATCACAGGAACTTTGTGTATCTTGAAAATCTCAAAAAAAGAGCGAATATTCAGAGAAGAATAAACTGATCCGCAAGGATTAAGGCTGGGTTATTGTTAACAATCGTCACTGATGAAGGTTCAATCTGAGCTTCCAGATCATCCAAATCGATAATTTTTCAATTCTTCTCAGCATCGAGATGGAATCGATGATGAATCGTGAAATAGGATGCGAGAGTTGCAGCTTTTTGTCGTATCTTTATTTCTCTATGCGTTTCAAACATTAGTTTTATAGCAAACTATTTTTAAAAAGAGCTCATTTAAAGTCCATTCAAGAAAAGAAGTTGTATTTAATTACGATAAATAATTGCCATTTTCTAACACCCTGTATCTAATTGAAGAGCATAGTTTTATAATCAAAATTCTGTATTATTTGTCTTTCCACAGAATCCCTAACTCGCTGAAATTTCCAAATCTTCATGAGGACTTTACTAACAGGTTGCCCTTTAATTTCATGTATTGAAACTGTGTTAGAAGATTCAAGAACATTGATCTTTTGATGAGTAAAATAAAAATGGGTAGACAAAATGATGAGGACTTATCAAATGGCTATTATTTTGCTCTCATTTCTTTCCATCATCATCATTATCTATTTGCATGTTCATCAACTCGTAATTATCAAGTCGCAGGGAAACAAACCAAAAAGCTGAACAAAAAACAAATATGATAAAAAAAAGGGCAACAAAACATGTTGAATTTGACGGTGAAATGGTTGTAAGAAAAGGATGTCTCAAGAGATCATCAGACCGTTAACTTGCCATCTCTTAACCGCTTAACCAGGAAGAACGGCTTACAGGTGGCAACAAGTAAAGTGAAGAGTCAAACCAGTAAACATTCACAGGCACGTTCACACTTTCTCTGTCGATGTTGATCATGATTAAAACATGATTAAGACCAGTTCAGCTTGAGAATTGTCAATATCAACGAACCTTGACAAAAGCTAACGAGTTTTACCCTTCAATCAAGGTGATACATTGGTAACAACAATTTTGTCAACATTGAATTACTTGACATTTTCATTGTGAAAACAAATAGATTCATCAGCGTATTTTAATTGATTAAACAGATTCTCTTGATGTTAAAATATCTTGTTAGGTAAACATGAAAAGACAAAACCTTCAAAATCAATTAAAATGGTTAACCAAGCTTCAATAATGGTTATACTGTCCACTGGTTTAAAAATTGAATCCTTAATCCATCACAATCGACCTGATTTGGGTTATTTTGAGCAAAGAAGTTTAAGCAAAATCTTTTTGCGCTAAGAACTTTTTGAGCTAAACTGATTAGAGCAAACCATGTTTTTCAAGTTTTGACCTCATGCATTGTTCCTCATTTCAATAATAAACTTAACTTATGAGTATTTTTTGCTAACTTTTCAACAAGTTTCAGTGTGAATTTGATGATAGATTTTTTTATATTGTGATTTCAAAAATGGCTAATGAATTTGAATTGATTGAATCTACTCGCGGAGCTCAACTTCTAATTTTTTTTGCGCAAACGCATTCTGCTCAATGTTTTTTGCTCAATTTAACCTTCACCAATCGACCTGATGAGATAAGTGGTGAGTTTTTCGCAATTAAGACTGTGCGATTTAACCATTTTCAACCTAAAAACTGTACAAATTTAAACCTTTTTTCTCCATATATTTAAATGGAATTCTTTTAATTAATGTTTCGCCAATATTTGGTGGTTTATGGCTAAGTTTTGGTATTTGTTTATTATTTCGTGTTGATTGGCGTTGAATCATTTCTTTTGTTTCGTGTTTCGGTTTTTATTAGAGTTTAACTGATTCTTTGAGATTCAATGGCAAAATTGAAGGCTTGGCTGGTGTTGTTGTAATTGGCCAATTTGTTAATTTGAGGATAAAATAGCA